TTTGGATATCTTTCTCAGAAAGACAATATCTACCTGATTCAAAATATATCCCCCTTTAAGGTCATTGCCTGTTTGGGGGCAGAAATCTGTTCTTTGTGCCTGTTCCAAAAGATGAAGGGGTAAGATTTATTCCAGGCATTTGGGGAGAGGATGGGCTAAGGGCAGAGACGAAGACAAAGAGGATCAAAACAAAAGAAACACAGAAGTGAAACCTGTGTGGACACATCTGGAAATAATGGCACAGAATCATCGATGACTGGTTTAACTGGTACCCTCAAATTACCGCCTTATTTGCAAAGAACAGAAATGGGCATAAGTGAGGAAATCATTCCTGGGTTGGGGAAGTAATTAAAACAGTAGGGAAACTGTTTTTTGATTTGGAAAGTATTAGGTAGACAAAGGGACCTCAACTTTGGTCAGGGTCCCTGTGTTGCTTCTGCTTTTAGTAGCTTTGATCCTTCTTTGACTTATCAAAAAACTTTAACTCTTTTCAAAATGCTTGCTTCTACTATAGGAAAAAAAGAGGAAGAAATATGTAATGAGCTATATCCACTTCAATGCACTTGGCTGAAAATAAAAGAAAATCCTGATTCGAACTGGTTTAAACAAGAAATCATACCATCTCACATAACAAGAAGTCTAGAGGTAGTTTCAGGAATAGCCTATTTGGGTTCCAGTTCTGATTTTCTAGGGTTTTCTTGACTCTGTCGCCCTCTGGACACCGGCTTCATCTTAGTCTGGTAGAAAGTAGCTGAGAGAATTCTGGGCATCACATCAGACCTGACAATGTCCAGGAGAAAGGGGTCACCTGTCTTCTCACAAGTCTTTCTCATGAGAAAATCATTCCCAGAAGCCTCCCTGTGGTCTTTCCCTCAAATCCCTCACACGTTATTTGCTCAATGCACAACTAGTCACTGGAACAGAGAATGCCATTATCCCAACTGGCTTAAATGAACCAGAATCTTCTGGAGCCAGGGATGCAGGGAATTACACACACTCGGGGTTGTGCTAGAATAGAAGGGAAGATGCCGTTTGGCTGGTATAATCTATTCTATTCTGAACTCTAAACAAAAAAGGAAAGCAGAAAACTAAATGCTAAGGCAAAAGGAGGGCGCTAAAGTACAATGTATAAAATTAATTTAAGAAGTGGTTCTCAGATCTGTGGTGCCTGGGGCTAGGGAAGGGAAGAGATTTGCTGCAAAGGAACAAGAGGGAACTTTTGTGGGTGAAGGAAATGATCTATGTCTTGATTGTGGTGATGGTTACGCTGGTGAATACATTTATTAAATCTCAAACAGTAAGCTTAAAATGGGTGTATTTTATTTTATGCAAATTATACCTTAATAAAGTTGTTGGGTTTGAGGTGTTTTAAGGGCGTCTGAGGATTTCTTACAGAGAACCTCCTTCAAGTGTCTGCTCAAACATCACTTTATGAGACAGGTCTTTTCTGACTATCCCATAAATAATCCCTCTCCTAAATTTCAAAATCCACCTCAAAATAACTCTGTATCCATTAAAATCTCAGCTCTTATATTCCCCCAAATCAGGAAACACAGTAAATTCACATTTTCTATTAATTCTTTAGCTCACACAATAATAGACTCTTACTATTCTTTAGATCATTGACAATTCCTAACTTCAATAAACCAAAGGCAATCCTTGATATCTAA